CCCCAAGCGGGGCGGGGAGGCCGCCCTCGCTGTGGATGTGGGGCTCCCGGGCTCTCCCGGTGGGCTCGTCCGCCCCGGGCTCTTTGTTGGCCCTGCGTCTCTAAGGATTTTTTTTCTTTCCCAGTGTGTGAGATCCGCTGACTTTCTTCTCTTATTCTTTACCCCTTCCCCTTCCACCCACCCTACCTCCAGAAAGTAATGGAAGTGGCACAATTTAGGGGCCTGGTCTCGTGGCATGGTTAAACAAAAGAACGGAGGAAAGCGGGCAACCTTTCATTCACCTGGTAAATATTTATAGGAGCCCTATTTTGTGCCAGACCAATTAAAGTCTAGGTTTCAACTCCCCAGGGGGAATGCTTTGAGCAGGCACCTCCCTGGCCTAGTGCAGGTCTTTGGGATGGGAACGATACAAGGTGTTTCAGCTGGTGTCCCGTTTATCTTCACAGCAACAATTTGAAACAAATACTGTATCCTCAGCAGTGCTGAACCTGTTGTAGTTATGGTTTCAAGAAAATGATGGCTGTTTGGGGTAAAATTCACAGGGGTCGAGTTCAATTCACACTCACTTGTACTGAGTATTGGGGTGTGTGTGTGTGTGTGTGTGTGTGTGTGTGTGTGTGTGTGTGTGTGTGTTTACTGGGGATTGAACCCAGAGCCTCCAAATTGAGCTACCTCTGCAGCCCTTTTTTATTTTTCAGAGACAGGGTCTCACTAAGTTGCCAAGCTGCCCAGGCTAGATTCAGACTTGCAATTCTCCTGCCTCAGCCTCCCAGCATGCTGGGATTACAGGGGTGCACCACCACACCTAGCTAAATTATTTATTTCAGTATTGGGGATTGAATCAAGGCCTTCCCGAATGGTAAGCAAGCTCTATATCACTGAGTTACATCCCCAGTCTTAGTGTGTCTCCTCACTGAGCCAGAGACAAAATCTACCCCAGTGATGGTTACCAAGATGCAGACTTAACATCCTGTAACTGGAAGACACTACCCAGGTCAGCAGAATTCCAGATCTCTGACACCTCAGGTGGGTAATATAACAGCCAGAGTTCATCTATGCCCAATGTGAAGGTTTTCCTGGGAGCTATTACTTGATAGTCAGAAGTTTATAAGAAAAATTCTAAATCATAGAGGCTGATTGATTTCCCCACAGAGGTAGAAAAGGGTCCAATGATATTAAGTGACTTCCCAATTCACCAGCAAGGTAAATGATAGAGCCAGGTTGCTGACTCCCTGGATGGGATGATGACCTTAATATCTCACTCTTGATGATCTTGAGACAAATCCAAGTCCTCCATCCTTCAGCTTCTTTTAACACAAATCGGAATAACAGCCTAGAGAAGGCCAAACAGGTCACCAGCTTGCCACTCCATCATAATTGAATAAACTTAGGTCTTAAAGTGGTTTAGATTACATCTAAATAACATGTGCTCCCCTTTAGAAGCCATCAGAAAATTAGTATGCTTCCATTTTGTGTTTTTCTGAAATTTGTACTCTGCCTATGTCATTAGGTAATCAGCAATTTGCTTTATCTGATAGAGAGAACTGGATAGGATGGAGAACACCCCAGGACTGGGGCATTCAGGCCCTCCCTGTTCATCCCAATTCTGGCAGTAGTGAGTTCAGCAGAAATGATTCTTTCAAAATCCCTTGGCTTGAAAAGTGCTCATGAAGTTAGTGTTGACGTAGGAAGTCTGCTCTGAAGCCTTGTCAGAGAGTTCTTTCAAAGTCAAATCTGGGGGAAAGTTAAATCAGAGAACTCAGTGATAAAACTCCAGGAAAAGGAGTTGTGTTCAGTATGCCGCTTAAACACAGGCAAGAAGGACTCCTTCCCTGGACACCCTGCCTGGCCCTCACCTAGTCACGCTGTGTCGGTCTGGTTGTTTCATCACCATGGGCCAACTCCTTGCCCCTCCACCTTAAAAATCACACCAGATATGAAGAATCTGTAATTCTAGATGCAAGTAGCCTCAAGCCTGGATGTGGAGTTTGCATCTAGATTATCAACCGAAGGCCCCTGTGGTAAAGGTTTAGGCCCCTGCATGGTGCTACTGGGAGGTGGTGGGACCTTTAAGAGGAAACACCCATTGGGAGGTCTTAGGTCATTGAGAACAGGCCCTGGAAAAGGACTGTGAGCACCTTCTTTCTTCCTCTCTCCCTCCCTGTCTCTCTCCCTCCCTCTCTCCTTCTCTCTCTCTCTCTCTCTCCCTCCCTCCCTTCCTCCTTCCCTCCCTCCCAGCTGCCCTGAGGTGAGCAGCTTGCTCTATCTACCATGATGTGCTGCTAAAATGATCATGGACTCTGAGCCAAAATGAATCTTTTCTCTTTATAAACTGGTTACAGCATTTTCTGGTATGGTAACAGAAAGCCAATTAACACAAAGAGGAAGGAGCAGTTCTTCACAGCCATTCAAAAGAAGCTGATCATGAGCACCTCACTGGGCCCAGGGTCTTGGCAGCAGCTGTGGGCCCCTGTGGCTCCTCGGTACTGCCCAGGGTGAGGGCACGCATGAGCACACCACATGTGTTAGCATGACGTACCATATTTACTTCCCTGGGCATATGGTACCTGGGCCTCCACTGGTACTCTTGCTCTCCATCCTGCTAATGGTAGGTTTTTTTAAAAAAGCATCTCAGTTTAGAAAGGAGTATTCCTGTTATTAGAAGTGTTTTTGCCTTGAATGCTTATCTAATGTTATAGACCTAATCTATAAAATTTTCAAAACCTTTCCCATGTAGGCCTTTTAAATTGTATGAATGCTTTTTTTTTTCTTGCTCTAATGCTGTTATCATTTGAGCGGCTGCCCTATGATTGCAATACCATCCCATGAATGCTGGCTTCGTCCCAGAGTCCAGACCCTCTGTGAAACACATTTAGGAGACAAGAAGCCTGTGTAAAGAGGTGGTACCCTGAGATGGGCCTTGAGAGATGAGGCTAGGTGAAGAGGGGGCCTGGGCACCCCAGATAAAGGTCCCACATGTACAGTGTCTCTCAGTACCAGTCTGGATGCTACAGAACTCATTGCTAAGACTTGCAACCAGCTATCTCTTTGTAACTGTAAAGCTCCAGCTTCAACACAATGGACTTTTCCTCCATCGGCACATTTCTCTCTTGACCTTCTTAACACCCTAACTACAGCCTCAGGACCTTACTTCTTTCCTGAAAGGTGTCTTCCACAGGTGGTCTAGAGTGGTCTAGGCTCCCTTCTTGGGCCCAGAAATCTGGCTTCCATCTCATCATGTCATCTGCCTTGCTCTGTCTAAAAAGTCAGCTCATGCTTTTTCCTTCCTTGACTTTCCCCAGTTGCAAATGTTGAATTTCCTTTGGAAACTTTCTCCTCGCTTGACCTGAAGGATGCCTAGTGTCACTTTAAGGTTTAGATTTTCAAAAAGAGCCCTGCAAAGACTAATTATTTCCTTCTAGGTGTCAAGTTTGCAGTTAGAGTAAGTACTCCCAAATGACCCACTATAATGACTCTAGCAAACTGTCCAGGATTTGACTTGATATGGACAGCTTCTTATAATAGCACTTAGTCACTATACTTTTTTTTTGTTCTCATTTTACGTTATTAAGAATGTATAAGTCTAAAAATCAAACAAGTAGCCTTTTCCACTGAACTTTAATTTTGTCATTCACAACTTAAATATTCATTTTAGAGTGACCCAGTGTCCTAGTTTGCACAAGATGGGGGGTGGGTGTCCAAGGATGAGACATTCTGTGCTTAAAACCAGGCCAATCCTAGAAAACTAGTACAGTTAGTTTTCCTACTTTGTCTTTAGAAATAGCCTTTTATCTTGCTCTTCCTTTGCCCTTGGAATTCAGAAATGCAGCATTTTACTTGCCTCAGCTGCCGTAGACTTTCAAAATAGTTCTGACTGCATTTATTTAGCTGCTTTCTGACTTAAAGAGAAGATATTTGTGCTGGAAGTTCTAACTTTACAGGATGGAAACTACCTGTCTGGTCTTGAAAGGAAATTTGGCAATCCCTTAATAGTGCAGTATTAATGAGACCAAGGACTGGGATTACAATGCTTCATAAGAAAATGAAGTTGAATGTTCCATGAAGTTTGGAGATGTTAGGGATTTGCTGGTTTTATCTAGAAAAAGAGGAAGGTTTTCCATATTTTAGTCTCTTGCAATT